CTAATTAAGGGTGCTTCCTTTAAAGTCGCAGCGCGTCCGCCTGAGAGTTAACAGTTTGCATAGAAATAAGACAGAACTGTAAAACGGATGTGCACGCAAAACTCAAGTTCCTGGAACGAGACTGAAGTTTCAGAAGTGGATGCACAACCAGAACTTTCTGCCAAAGTGAAGGTGAAGAAGAAAAATCCTCATCAGGGTGGATTTTTTTTCTTCAGCCTTTGCCTTTAAAAGGGCTGTTGACCCATTGTGTTATGGTTTACAGCAAGGCTGTGATATCTGCTCCTTTCAGCCCAAAACTTCCGATTTCAGCAATCTTATTTGGTTGCATTTTATGACATGCATGTAATGCATTCAGTAATTCTATGCTTTGTTTCTCTTTTTTTTTTTAAATCCGAGAATGGGACCCCAGAACCCACATGGGAAGACTCTTTTTAATTGTACTGGGTTTGAAAAATAACAGTCCTTGGAAATTTCCAGTATGGAGCAAGCACCATGTGTCCAGTACACCCGCGGCCTTCACTTTTCTGTTTCTGTTTGCAATGGTGTCCCTGAAACCCCCACGGACTTGTTTAGGGAAGAAAGGTATTATATAATTGTGTTAAAACCTGCTCATTCCCCAACACACCAGCATGATGTGACAAAAATATCAAAATCTGAGTGTTTTCTTAAATGTATGTCCATTTTGCATTTCCGCTGAATTTTAAATTGAACATTCAACTTTTAACGGAAATGCAAAATGGACATACAATCAGATTAATGATGGCATTATCAGAATTGGAACTCGGCACAGCCTTCTGAAGATGACTTTTGAAGATGTAGGTAGGGTGCTTCTAAGAATATCCAGAGTTCTTTGATGTTGGTTCTTAACTCATTTCATTTGATTTCAAGTCAGCTGCTAGAAATAATTGACAATACGTGAGTCTGAAGACCATGGACAAACATGATTACAAACACTTCTGCTTTTTTTTAAAGCTTTGATACTCAAACACCAGTATCATTCTAGCCAAATTATGTTTATGCTGTATATGTCTAATTATAATTATTGTGCAACATAACTCGTCTTGTGAAGCTGCTAGTTGATTAATGATAATGTTGTATCTGTTGTTGGTATTATTTTATTACTGACTTTGTTTAAGTGATGCTATGGAGAGTATGCTTTGTGTGACTGTAGAAATTCTGTGGAGAGAGAGACGGAGTCATAAAATAATAAACCCGGTGTAATAAAATCAGTCCCCTCGACTTAAAACTTTTGTTGTTGTTGTTGGTCAGCTGAGGTCAGATGGAATGTTTTAAACTGTTTTGGTACCAAAGATCTTAGCATCAGAAAAGGCGGGGGGGGGGGGGGGGGGGGGGGGGGAAGTTAAGTCAGTTTGAAATGAGTGAGTAACGTTTGACCCCACCAAGATCACACAACGTGACACAATCAACACAAGGTGACACAAAGTGCCACAATTTGGATGAGGATAACCGGGGCATGAGTCCCAGAAACATGTTCAACCATTAGGTTATATTTAGGGCCCCTGTCATATGTATAGATCAGTGTATGGTACATTCCTGCATCTGTGATGCAACATGTACATATTATACAGCATGGAAAGTAAAGTAGAAAATAAAGGGAGGAGGTTTTAAAGAAGATTGTTGAAAACACCATAAGACAGGTAAAAGATTTTACAAAGAAGACTTGAGTCTTGATAGATCACCACAGTCTGGTGAGATTGATGCAGGGGGGGGGGGGGGGGGGAGTTACGAGAGGTTCTGGTAGATGCTTGAGGCCCAGAGGAAATGCAGGCCGGACGTTTAAGCAGAATGCTACTGGCACCATTAGTATCGGAACTCTTCACTGGCTGCTGAAGACGGGGACGGAGCGCTTATGGGAATGCCCCGAGTGCTGTGATGAATCAAATCAAACAAAGAAGACTTGAAATAAATCAACCTGTGATGAAAACTGGGTAGCCACATCAGAAGTGACATTTCACATTCTTTAAGTACATGAAAAAGTAGAAAACTAAAGTATTATATTGTGAAAATGTTTTGCATGTGCGAGCTCAAGATTTTCCTAAGAGTGATTTGTTTTTCACTAATTTTCAAATGGAATAGTGAAATACATGTGTGATTTCCACAATCACAGGAATGGAAACACCATACTCAGTTTAATGGAACCTGAGACAAAAAGAAAAAGTCAATTTTATCATAAGAACCAATCTTTCAGTGCCAAAAGAGAGGGACAATCACAAGAAAGAAAGAAATCCTTGTCATCTTGGTTGAGCTGTTTATCTCACTCTCTGAAAGTCATGGTTCCTGAGTGCAGGTTTTTTTGAAGATCGCTAAGGGTTGTTGTTGGAGCAGGTATTAATGCTGTAGTGCAGCGGTTCTCAACCTACAAGTTGTGACCCTTTTTTTGGTCGAGTGACCCTTTTAGATGGGTTGACTAAGACCATCGCAGAACACATATTCATTGAAGTTATGAAGGAAATTATTTGTCTGGGGGTCGCCACAACATGTGGGAACTCTATTAAAGGGTCACGACATTAGGAAGGTTGAGAGCCACTGCTGTAGTGTCATCTGATGACCAGCCACCCTGCTGAGAGAGAGACTAAGCCTTACAAAATATAACTTGGTGTAATGAAGTCCATTCTCTCACTTCTAAATATGTTTTTTCATTTTATTCTCTTATATCTGCAAAACAATTGTGTACATAATATCTTATTCTTCTTTGCTTTTCAAGACTAAAAATTAGCAAAAAGCTGTGGTTGTTCATCCACCTCTGGACTTAAGTCTTGTTCCAGAACTTGAGTGTTACGTACACATCCAATTTATAGATCCAATTTATAGATCTCGCTGTAGACTGTTAGTTTTTTGTCTCTCAGGCAGATACTCACCAACTTGGAAAGAAGCCCCCAATTAGTCGACTCTTATGACATGCTTGTTAAGGAGGCGTCGGTCTATTCTTGTTTTCACCACAATAGGGCCCCAGAACCCACATGGGGAATGTTTATAATATGAACGACTGAGTGACTCTCTACCCCACCAGGACATCACACAAGCGATAAACACCCGATGACACAAAGTGCCACCAATGTGGATGAGGATCACCGTGGAGAGGTCCCAGAAACCGCGTTCAGACAATTTGCCACATTTATGGCCTGCCTATATTGCGGCCCCTGGTAAAAGCCAGGTTGGGGCTTCAAAGAACAAAAAATGTTGTCCTAAAAAGGATGTAAGGGTTAATGCAGATAATATTATAATATGAAAAGTATATGTTTGTATTGAGTGATGTAGACAAGACATGAAAAGGTCATGTTTATTCTGCAAGGTGAAAGGAAAATAACAATAAGAAAAGCCACTAACATCATTGGGGACTATGAATGCAATCTAAAAATGTAATATTGTTCATTACATGAAAATCCTCACCCGCACAGTCGTGGCGACAGCACTAGCCATGCGGTATTAAATCCTCAGGCTCGAAGACCCTCCTGCCTACACCGCAGAAGTGGTATAATAAGGGCAGTAACTAGCAGTTTTGTTCAATATATGACACACATTTTAAGTACTAAAATGTTTTAAAATTCTTTGGAGGTTATATTTTACAACAGTGGTTCGTAAACAATTTCTGAGATATCATTTTAAGAAACCATAATAATGCATTCTGGATATCAATTTCATGTTAGATTTGACTTAATCTCATTTATATATATTTGTTTTCTGTGTTGTTGAACACAATCTTAAATATCAGTGGCCCCATAAATAAATTAAAATTTAATCTATCTTTTTGTTGAATAAGATTCACACCTATATTATGTATCCATACAATTATTTAAAGCGAGATGTAAATACTGATAAAAGGTGAGTTGATTTTCTATATGGTCAAAAGGTCTTGCAGTTTCTTTCTTCTGCTGCTGATGAAGGTGCTGAAACTGTTGCACTGTCAATTTAGAATAGACTTGTTAATTCTTCGCCTTTTGTGCTGCTGCTGCTTTTTCTTGTTCTTCTTCTTTTATCTTCTTTTTCGCCTTCTTCTTTTTTGTCCATTCCTCTTCTGTGAAACTGAATCTGTTAAAGTGAATTTCAGATGTCATCTGTTTTCAGTAAGGTAAATCACATTTTTCTGAGATTAGAGTCACTACTGTACATTAACTTTCTCTAACACAAAAACAGAAAAAACATACATTTTCTAGATGGAATATTTGAATGGGAACATAGTGGATTTTCCCATTCTTGTTCTAATAATGTGATCAAACCACAAGCTTTGGGCAACAGTGAAATAGTTTTTCCAGTCTCCAACTTTTCCTGCATTTTGGGAGAAACAAATAATTAAATCAGAGATAAAACCTGTTCCTCATAATTATCTATATCAGTATTATCTTGTAAAATCTTTGAAAATTAACTATTTTATAAAATCAAATAAAACAGGTATACAGTGGTACCAAACATAATCCATTTTGCAATGGCGTTCGAATTCCATGGTGACCATATTTGTATACAAGCATAAATATGTTTGGAAAATAATATAAAAAATACATACTTACTGTAAAAAATCTGCCAGTTACTGCCTTTGTTAAACTACTTTTGCGGTGTAGGCATGGGCGGGGGGGGGGGGGGGGGGGGGGGGGGGGGGGCCTGAGGATTTCCGGCCGCATGGATAGTGCTGTCACCATGACTGTGCAGGTTAGGATTTTAGGCTCTCCTTTGAATAACTGTCGCTAGCTGGAAGGCGACGGCCGCTTAGTCAGAGTTCACTCCTTTGGCTGCAGTGCAAATATGGAGCGGACAAGTCAAGAATCAAAACACAAAGTGAGGTCGACATGCCTACTAGAGCTAGACCACGCGCTGCGACTGACAGTAGCGACCGCGTACTTCGGACGCACGACTCTCGTAGACCACGTGCTGCAACTCACATTAGCGACAGCGTTCTTCCGATGCACGACGTAGTGACCGTAGATGTGAGACCTGCGGATCTGTATGTCGTAATGAGCGATAAGCTTCCGTCGTTTCCGTGATGTGTCACCCTAACCTTACCCCTAACCCTAGCCCAAACCCTAACCCTAGCCCAAACCCTACCCCTAACCCTACCCCAAATCCTAACCCAAACCCTAAGCCTAACCCTAGGGTGACAGGTAACTATATCATTTGTTTTGTTCCCTCTTTACCACTCCGTATTTGCACTGCAGCCAAGGGAGTGAACTCCAACTAAGCGACCGTTATTTAAAGGAGAGCCGGGTTTTATTTTGCTCCAGACAGAAAAAAATACTTAACCTTACCTAGGATTCGAACATGGGTCTCCTGCATGAGAGCCCAGTGTCCTAACTGTTCGGCCAGCAGATCCTCTCATACTTACTGTACCTTGATCATTATGTGACACAGCACACAGAAGTAGGAGAAAGAATGAGGATATAGGGTGATTATTATTTGGCAGGGGAATGACCTTCAATGATAACTTCAGGAATCCTTTCTAGCTTTTAATATCTTAGTCATCAACCACATGTAGAGGGTGTTGTGTCATTAATTTTTGTTGACAGTGCTGCAAAGGTCTCTGATGCTGGCAACCATTTTTAGTTTTTCTAAATTGTTTGATAATGTTATCATTAAATAAGTTAACACACCTGTCAACTAGGACTATGTCAGGGTGCAACCTAATAACTTCAAGCGTTTTTTTGACCACATGGTAAAAGGGTCTTAAATTTCAGCGGTGCTAATCCTCCCCAGAAGAAATTTCTTCTGCAGTTTCTTTCTTCTGCTGCTGGTGAAGGTGCTGAAGCTATTGCACTGTCAGTTCATTCAGGTGATCGGCACATGCCAGGTGTTCAGTTTCCAAAATCAGTGTTTAAGTTCTGAGGCCACACACAAAAAATTAGAACAAAAAATTTGAATTCCCAGCTGTTTAAGTTTTGGGGTGTTCGGATTCCGAGATACCAGTTTACATATTTAGATCAAATTAAAAATTTTTTATCCAAGACTGTCTTTTTTACTAAAAGCACCCACCTGATGCCAAAGCTATATTTTTAAAGACTAATTGGCACTGGATCAGTGATGTCAACATCAAGCACCCGCAATAAATCTAAGGACATTTCCTTGTGTCTAGTTAAAGCTAGGGAGCACACACACATTTTTAATTTTGCAAATTCGAACTCATGACCATTGGCAGCCAGGCGGGCTAAAGAATGGCCTAGAATAATAGTGCAGATCTCGTATATGGCAAATTTCTTTTCTTTTATGACGAACAATTTGTTTATCCCCGGAAATATTTGTTGCTTAAATTCGTATCTGGATAAGAGGAATTTCTGATAAGAAGAAACATTTCATGGGTCCCTGGTGAGCTCTCCTTATTAGATCTGCACTGTAATTAGCTAAAAAACTGATATGTCAAAATTTCAAATAAGTAACTAAATGCTGAAACATTTTACCCTTGACTCTTTACCAGCTAGTGTTGTTTGTGGTGAAAACATTCAGCTGAAGATAGCAAATTCGATTTAGAACTCAACCATTGTATTCACTAATGCTGGCGTCTCAATGGTAGGTCATTACTGGAAAAACAGTTGCAATCTTTGTGCGATGCTTTTGACAGGCGAATAGTTAGTTGATCTACAGATAGACAAGCCCATGAGGGATAAGAGCGGCTGTAATAAATTCCATCCTTTTGACAGGCGAATAACAGATTGTAAAGGCCCTGGTTGCCCTGAAAAGGAGCATTGTTGGAGACGTTGTGACCTGGTGTTTGTTTGGCTTTTCCCCTGCGACTTTACAGAATGGCAACCAAGCAGCAACAGGGCACCAGCGCAGCGATCAGCACGAGGTAAACCAAGCACCAGCAACAATCAGCTAAAATCTGCAGATATCAGCACTAAGAGAAATGGACCATACCAGACCCAAAAACCACAAGCACCACACCGGACTCAGGAAGCAAAGAACTGGAATATCAGGTGTGACTACACACCACAAATAAAAGGAAACTAAATAAGATAGCCAAGGAACCTTCCTTCATTATAGCAGGCCTCCGGGTAGGTGAAAAAGGATCAAATTTTGAATTTTTGTTGGACAACTAGAATTGGAATTGGAGGCGAATAGTCTACGGACAGAGACAGGCCCATGAGGGATAAGACTGGGTGTGATAAAGCCCATCCTTTTGACAGGCCAGTAGTTAGTTGCTCTACGAACAGACAGGCCCATGAGGGATAAGACTGGGTGTGATAAAGCCCATCCTTTTGACAGGCCAATAGTTAGTTGCTTTACAGACAGACAGGCCCATGAGGGATAAGACTGGGTGTAATAAAGCCCATCCTTTTGACTTCAAAAACACATTTACACTCGTGAGGAGTGAACGCGCAGGAAACATAATTTACCTTTTCTATACATAATAGAGCCACTGGAGTCACTGATTACATCCCCTTTCTGTCTCTTCATGGCATCGAAGCTGGTGGCTTTTACAAGAGATTCTAGGAAGGTGTCGTTATAGTCTTTTCCTAGAAACTTTGATAATCTGCGTAGATGAGGCAAAGGCTCTGCCTGTCAGTATATGATAGAAACATAATATTTAATTGATATTAGGTGGTAGTTCGGGGGCCACTTAAAACAAAAATTAGATTATTTCTTTATCGTCTTCTTCTTTGATGAGTTCACCAAAGTTAAAGTCCCGCGGAAATTTCTGATTGTCCACTTTGGGACTTTAGTTGGTATTAAGTGGTTGTTCGGGGGTGATTTAAATAACAAAAATTAGATTATTTCTTTATCGTCGTTTTCTTTGCTGAGCTCACCAGTGGTAAAGTCCCGCGTAAAGTTCAGATTGTCCACTTTTTTACTTTAGTCTTGTTCAAAACCTGAGTGCTGCAGACACAACAATTTAACATTTTCTGGCTCATTGCATGCAGACTGTGGGTTCCTTTTCTGTCTGGCAGATGTGCTCCAACATCCAAGAAACAGCAGTTCTATCAAAGTTAACCAGGCTTCTGGTAACGAACCAGTTTCTAGGATGACCGCGAAGAGGTGTAGATAGGTCTCGACCAGTTTGTCCCCTGGTCCAGATGCACCACCACACATGATAAGTGGTCAAGCCGTTTGTCTCGCGCTCTGAAGGTCATGGATTCGTTTCACGGCTGCGCTTTTCAGTTAATGAGTGCAATTTTTACGGAGATTATCGGCAATGCTACCGAGGTTATTCTCTCTGCGTCGCTTTCAGCAGGCAGCTAGCTGTTCTACAGAGAGAGACTGAGCCGCGTGGGATAAAACCCGGTGCAATGAATCTGGTCCTCTTACCTGTGCCTTTATTTTTTTTTAAAGAAACACAAAATTTAACCAGACAAACTAACAAACAAAATCACAAACAAACAAAAGCGAACTTAATAAAAGCTCATAAAAAAAAACAGTTCAAAATTAGTGCTTCACCATCATAATCAATAAAAAACTCTCTTCTTGTTTTTGACATCATTGTCCTCACAATTCAGCATCATGTTGATAAGATATGTTTCTCGAATTATTATCAAGTATGCAAACCCTCTGTAATGTTGTGAATTCACGGGGAAACCCCAGAGAGTTCCCGATTGGGAGAAAAAGGTCGGAGGACCCGTGAGAGAAGAGAAAAACGGGAGAAGTGAGTCTCGTGTGTCTCATGGTAAACGAAGTGAGAGACACAAGAAAAGCATGAGACGTGAACGGAAGACGTGAACCGAGAGACTGAAGTAAGAGAGTTGAAGTTCTGCCCTGACTGAGAGAGGACGCGTGAATGAACGCCTGAGAAGAATAAATGATTTGTGAAGTGAACGTTATATTTCAATAGGAGGACTGAATGTTTTTCCATACGTCGTAATGTCAGATATCAGAGTCCATGAAGTATAGATGGATGGTTCGAGAGGCGCTGATAGATTCCTGTAGTGTGTGGGAAGTCCGTCCAGGTCGCTAGATTCAGCCAAGCAAGTCGAGCACGAGGAAGCATGAATGTATGTTTGCGATAACTGGAGATTCAACGAATAAAAGTAAAGAACTCAATATTCGTTCATACTGTGTCGTTTCAACTCACTGTTCGTCTGAAAGCAATGTAAACAATTCATGCCCCTAGATGAGCACATTACAAGTGGAGGTTCTAAAACGGACACATCCGGGACAAAAAACAACGACAGAAGATAACCGGAACATCACTGAAAACACAGCGGATTGGACCAATTGAACTCGACAGCTAATAACGGAGCTGAACAGTCAATATAAGTGGCGTTCTGTGTCAAGGTCGATTTCCAGTAATCGTCTGAGGTAACAGCAGTTGTTAGTCAAAATTTATTTGTTCAGAACAAGCAACGACAAACATGGTCAGTGTAGTGACCAAAAACCCGGCCAGTTGGACCAGTTAAACTTCAAAGCTCAAAGCGGGGCTGCAGAGTTGACGTAAGTGGGGGACTGGGTCAAGGCCGCTATACAGCCATCATCCGTGGTAACACCAGTTGCTGTGTCGAAATTTACCTCAAGAAAATGTGTAGAAATTTCAAGTACATTTTTTCTGTGTAAGGATGGCCAAATTCGCCACTGGGTAACGTGTCGAAATTAGTTATCGTTACAGTATCATCATAACAACTATACCACGTATCGTTACAGTATCATCATAACAACTATACCACGTATCGTTACAGTGGCATCATAACAACTATGCCGCGTATTATTACAGTGTGATCGTAACAGCTATACTACACATTGTTACAGTGTGATCGTAACAATTATACTGCGTATTGTTACAGTGTGATCGTAACAACTATACTGTATATTACAACATCAAATTAGTCATCAATCAGTCCAGTGTTTGAAACAGTAGTTGCAAAGGGCAACAGCCACCAAGTACAGTGATCACTAAACATGCTAACATAACGTAAGTGTGTTAAGACAAGGCATCTAGCTGAGTGACATTGGTCAAGCGGACAGCCGACTTATATCCACATATCCGATCTAACATGCAGCTAGCGGAACACCGCTAAACGAACATTCGTAGCACAGGTAGAACAAGTACACGTGCAGAACAGTTTTCTGTGAGTTCCTTCAAGTCTTTAGAACAGACAGTCAGTTTCCATGAATTATTCAGATTGACACCCATGTTCAACTTATAGACGAGTGCCGCTATTTTTCAAAAAAGTACACTACTTCCATGATGAACCGCAATATGAATTCAGACGGGTAGTGGCCAATTAATGAAGTGACATTACCAACCGGAAGATTCAATTGCACGACACGATCTACAAGAGACTCGTTCAATATATTTCCGTTACAGCCGAGAAGTGTGCTATAGCGAAAAGAAGGATCCGTAGAATAGACTGGGTCTTAGCTCGATAGGAGCCATAGTAATTTTTCTTTTTAAAAAGTTGAGTAATTAAGTTCATAATTGATATTATTGTTCTGAGTAGGTAGAAAACTACTCAGCTAAACATAGTGATTATATATCACATATTGATTTTGTTGGTTGTGATTGTATTGCTATTAAGCGTAATATTGGTGAACGCATTTGTAATTGTTATATTTGTACAGGAATATCGTATACATCTACAAGTCAAAAATGGCGGAATGGGTAGCCATTGGTAAAGAATTGGGCCTTCAGGGCGACGAGTTAAGGAAGTATGTGGATGAAAAACATAAAGAGAAGGTAGAAGAGGAAAAAAGAAGAGCAGCAGAAGAAAAAGAAGAACAATTAAGAAAAGCAGCAGAAGAACGAGAAGAACGCAGACTTGTGCGTGAACACGAACTACGTCTCAAAGAGAAAGAAGCAGTAAAAGAGGCTGAATTGAAACAGATGGAACTACTACAACAAAAGGAAAGTAAAGAGAAAGAGTTACTATTGCAAAAAGAGATTGAGGAGAAAAAATTACAGCTGGAAAAACAGAGGTTAGAGGCACAAATACAAGCGGACAAAGAAAAAGCAGAAACTCAGATCAGAACAAAGGAAATGGAAAATGAGTCAAAAAGAGAAGCAGCCATAGATAAAGAGAGAATCAAAGCAGAAGAAAACAAATTCAAAAAATATGCAGGAATAGTCCGAAATTACTGCAAGGAAGACGACATCGGAGCGTATATAGCCAATTTCGAACTAGGTATGCACATGCATAACGTCCCATTTCAAGACTACGCTTTAATCTTTCAAAAACACCTAGCATTTGAACCTTTGAAGATTCTGGAAACAATTCCAGAAACCAAAAGACTAGATTACAACTATATCAAAGAAAGGTTAATGAAGCATTACAACCTGCACGAAGCTGGCTACCGAAAACAGTTCAACGATTTGAGACCAAAAAGTAGTCAAACATTTGCAGACTATCTGTCAGAAGTGCAGAACATATTCCAAAAATGGGTTGAAGCAGCCAATGTAAAAAATGACTATAAGTTATTGGTTGATTTGTTGTTAAGATGTAAAATGTTAGAATCTCTTCCACAGCCAATGGCAACTTTCCTAAAGGAAAATAAGCCAACAAATTTAGATTCTTTAGAAGAAGTAGGTGAAAATTATTTTGCAGCACACCCTGATATCTTCGTGCTATCAAGTTCTGATTTGATAGAAGTGGGAGCAGCAGCCTATGCAAAACCATACCAACAGAAATTTCAGAACAAAAACTTTAGATATGGCAAGAAAGAGGTAAAGACCATCAATTGCAACCACAGTCACGATAGACATGGTGACGACGCACCTTGTGATAAAAGCCCACTATTTAATGAAAGAATCGAACAGGTGATTGCTCATAGAAAAAACAAGTTAAAGAGGTATGAAAATGCAGTAAAATGTTATATTTGTGGATGTTATTTGCACACCAGACGTAACTGTCCTGCTATAAAACGATTCAAGGAGGCACATGTAGTATGTGTAACATCAGATGATGAATCAGAAAGCGATTCAGCTGAAGCCAATTCAGCTACCATGTACGAAACAGAAGAAGAATGTAAAATATGTTCTAAATTCCATAAGGAAGGCAACCTACCGTGTGGACACCTGATACCCATTCAGAACGCTAATCTGGCAACACACGGCCACGGTACTCTGAAATTTCAAAAAGGTCAGATCCATGGGCAAACCATATCACTCCTTAGGGACACTGGTGCATCTATTTCCGGAGTGCATCAAAGACTGATTAGACCAGAAGATTTAACAGACAAATACATCAATTGTCGTACCTTTGGGGGTAGCATCGAAAGATATCGACTTGCTAACGTGTTTGTTAAAACACCATACTTAGAAAAGTTCATAACTGTTGCAGTATTACCATCCCCTTGTGCTGATTTGATTTTGGGAAACAGGGAAGATTTAAGAACAGTAACCGACAGGGACATTGTAGCTTGGGAACAAAAAAATATTCCAAAGTATTGTCAGAATGAAAGTACGGAAGACAACTCCCCATATCCCAAAGAATGCTGTAATGTGAGTGAGAGTAAGGTTACGAAAGACAACCCTACAAATCCCAGTGAGAGTGTCAACCCAAGTGAGAGCGAAGATACAAAAGGTAACACTCCATACCCCAAAGAAGAATGTGTCAGAGAAAGCTTGGAGAGTG